AGTCCATACTTATTTTAGTCCCATGTTTGTAAAATTAAGTTTCTAAAGCCTCAATTATGTAGCTGTTTTCTAGTTTGAAATGCGTATACGCTTAGCACATATTCTAAGGACCTAGCAAAAATCTGTGAGACAAAATAATTTCAAATGACTCACCATAAAGCTATCTCTGACTTTGATCAAATTTAGAATGAAACTAGTCACTTTTATAACTTTTTTGACTGCATTTTCCGGGCGAAAGCTTTTCGGTTTTTTGTTTCATGATGAAACAGCCATAACAGTTCTGTGGGCTGCAGCGAGGATCACCCTATCCGACTTGTTCTCTGCTGCAAATTCTAGTAATAGTAATGATAATCATAGTAACAGTAAAACCACTGAATACAATAATGTAACAAAGAAAACAAAATGTACTAAAAAGCATATGGTGGCCGCTCGAAGCTGATCGTTGAGCATGATGCTCACCCTATTCGCAAACTGCAAAAAGTCGGTAACTTTTGCTTCTTGATTCAATGCATATTTCTGGTTTATCTTTCCTTTTGTTTTTTACTCGAAATAATCGGAATATTTGTGTGTGTGCATGTTGGTTAGATGGTAAGGAGGATGCTGAAAAAGAAAGTCCATCCGGACATTGGTTCGCTTAGTTCTAAAGTTTCGGCAAAAAAGTGTGAAATGTTCGACGATCATGCTTCACTTCTTCCGGCTCGAGGTGTGTTTTCTTTGTATTCTAATCATGCCTTTCTCTTCTTTGGTGCATTTGATTTTCAATTTCTTGATTACATAGGATACTTTCATGTTTATTCATGCGTTTTCTGTGTAATCTAATCACGTTTTCTGTTTTGTTCAACGAGCTTATTTGAAAAGCTACCAAAATAAGCTTATGACATAAGCTCGAGCATTTTAAAAAAGCTCGTCCTACCAAGAAAAACTTATTTAAATACATAAAGCTTATAAGCTAACCAAATAAGCTATAATCGAGTTTATTTGTCTACCAAATATAGCCTTAGTACTCGCTCAGTAGAATTTTTGTTCATTCATCGACATATCATTGAACTTTCTTACAATAAGAATAATAAATGTGGATTGTAACTGCAAACTCTATATACCATCAAATTATAACATATATACTTCAAACAGTTCTACATTTTGTTTTCAGCAAACTCCTTTTGTTGTCTACAGATGCCTAACACATTTGACACTTGAAGTAATTATGTCTCCACGTTCTGCAGAGATTTACGTCCCATGGAAACATATTTGTGTTTCTGTGTATGCGTGCTTATGTTTATAGTATTCGTGAATTATTTTATTTGTCATTAGTGTGCCTTTGGATAGATAATTGAGTCCATGATTCCATTGTATGTTTTACGGTCCCATATATTTGTGATTTGCTTTTCGAATTAAAATTTATGCGTATATTGTGAAATGTTCATAGTTTTATTTATTTTAAAGTATGACTTCTCTATTGAAACACACTCACTAATTATTCACACGACCAACAATCAACCAAGTCAAAGTTCTTAGGGCATGATTGGATATAAAATATAGTTATGACTGATTAAATAATTTCGTTTAATTTAATATTCAACTCACACATAACTCAATCTAATTTTCTTATGAGATTATCAATATAACTAAATAATACTAAGTAATGCATCAACTTTAATTCAATATTTATCTATTCATATAATTTTAACTATTCACCACTTTTATTGTAATTTTACCTCACATCAACTTTAGGGTGTATTTGTTTATAAAATAATTTAACTCATACATAAAATCTAAGTCAATCCTACTATCCTCAATATTATCTATATAATTAAATAATAACAATCAATAATTTTTATGGATCAAATCAACTTTCATTCACTATTTATCCACTCGCATAATTTTAACTAACCATTATTTCAAATTATTTTTCACTTGCTCTTACATCAAATCAACTTTTAATTATTTTATTTTAAATACTATTTTAATATAAACTCAAAATTCCATTAACAATTGACCATACAATATTTTTCAAAATTAACTCTGATTAACAAAGAAAAAAACTTGCTTTGAGCGGATATATTTGTAAATAGGACTCTCTCTCTCTCTCTCTCTCTCTCTCTCTCTCTCTCTCTCTCTCCATGACAGAAAAATCTCCAAAACCTCACTTTAAAACCGTCGCTTGTCTCAATCCCAAGCTCCACCTCCTCGCAGCCGCGCAATCTGAAGCGCCATAGCGCCGGTCGTCACCAGCTTGAGCGGCTCATTCCAGTAGGATTCGTCTTTCCCTCCCCGATGTAGAGTTTCGCCGCAGTCGTCGGTTGTCTATGGATGGCTCGTTCCAAAGATTTATTGTTATTATACTTGACGAGCTCAATTCTTTTTTTTCT